TTCCCTGGGGATTCTGTATGAGCTTTGCTGGTGACAAGCCCCTCCTCTGCCTGTGTCCTGCTCCTCCCTGTATGGATTTGAGGCGTTGCTGAGGGCCTGGGTCCTTTTTGAGAACTGCTTCCTTCTGATCATGGATGGCCTGAGTGGAGGAGAGGAACTTCTCTTTAGGTCTGTGTGGTTGCGCCCAGGCCTCAGTCCTGACTCTTCTCATCCCTAGATGGGCGATCCCCGTTTGTCTAACCTTTGGGAGACAAAGGACCCCAGACAGTTTAAGATCCATGGCCCAAGTATTAGCAAGAGAATAACACTCACATGTCAAATTTTTCCTGAAAATGCAGATCTCTAGGCCCTTGGTCCTGGCCCAAGGCTTACAGCCAGGCCTGAGTCTCCCTGGCCACATTTCAGTTGTTTCTCAGAAGAGAAGCTTCAGGTCAGACAGACGGTCACACAAGTGGTCCAGGGTGTCTGGTCCATTTCCCCAGGTCATTTCACCAGAGATTGGGGCAGAATATTAGGTCCTATTGGATAGTGGTATGGCCAGAATGGTGTACAATTAGGGAAAAATGGATGTACATCTTCAGTGCCTTCACTGATTGCCCTGAGGTTCGGTACCATCCAGTATTCCCCATTGGGTTTCTTTAGGGGGAGGATGGGGTATTACAGGCCGATTGGCCTGGTCTAATAAGGCACTGGTCATTTAGGATCTGTATCACAGGGGAAGGCTGGCAGAGAGGGTACTGTTTTCTATTGGGCCATGTATGTCTGGGTTTTAGATGGACTATCACAGGACTGGCTCTGTAGCTGGTCCTACCTGTCCCTGGGCCCAGACCTTAGGACTTACTCCAGGGAGATGGACTTGCTCTGTGTGGGGAGGTTTGTCCTCAGTTATTAACACTATCATTTTCTGCCTCTTTGTCTAAGGGGACACCAGTCTCCGGTTTGTCTCCCATTAGGTGGAGAGTAACCCCCAATTTGGGGATTACTTCCCCGGTGGCACTAGTGGTAAAGAACCTACCTTCCAGTTCTCAGTAAGAGACATAAGAGACCATGGGTTTGATCCCTGGGTCAGGAAGATCCCCTGGAGGAGGGCATGGTAACCCACTCCATTATTCTTGCCAGGAGAATGCCATGGACAGAGGAGCCTGGCAGGCTACAGTCCATAGGGTCACAAAGAGTCGGACACGACTGAAGCAACTTAGCCCAGACACTATCCCCAGTTTAAGTAAGATGCCTCTTCCTAGCAGGCATAGAGGGAACTCAGGGAGGAACCGGAAGGAATGGGTGCACCTGTGTTCATACAGTTCACACTCTAGTAGCTCTATGAATGTCCTTTCTTAGGCCTTCCCTGATAGCCCCATAATTTTACAATTTTTTATGACCAAGTTTGCCTGATCCAGTTTTTGTTGTTGTTTAGTCACTAAGTCCTGACCCCATGGACTGTAGCCTGCCACGGAATTTTCCAGGCAAGAACACTGGAGTGGGTCACCATTTCCTTCTCCCAAGAATCTTCCAGACCCAGGGACTGAACCCGCGTCTCTTACATCGCAGGCGGATTCGCTACCACTGAGCCACCTGGGAAGCAATCCAGTATTCAGAACCAGGTAAGTGGCACTGGTGTCAACTAAGAATTCAGCAGTCTTTGCCCTTATAGCCAGAGTCAGCCAGGGCTCCTTGAGGGTCAACTGGAGTGCCAACTTAGGAGCCTCCTGACCCCAACATTCTTCATCTTTTTGAACCATTTGCTGTCAAAGATAGTAGCTGAGATTTGCATCTCCATCCGTTTGGGGGGTGTCGCGTTCTCTTTTCCAGGTCCCTCTTGTGTACATATGGCACGTTGATTGGCTCATAGCTTCCTTGGCTTACTCTCCCTCAATGGGGGCCAGAGGTCACTCACCAGAGTCAAGAGTCTCTGTGTGTGGTTAGTCCAGGTTCCCATGCTGACTGGTTGACGTTTGAGGGCAAGAGCCAGTAGCTGGCCTTGCCTCCAGGCCTTTTTATCCTCTGCCTTTTGAGAGCAGCTCACAGGTCTCCCCAGCCCACTTCTGGAAGAAGTCAGGTCATTGGTCTCATGCCTGACTTGGGATCCTTTCATGTTCAGATGTCTTTAGTGCCTTTTTCTGAACTTGGACTGAGTGTCCTCGTTCTGTTTTTTCATAAGAACCATGATCTGGGTTTTTTCTTGGTCTCACCTCTTGGCTCACAGGGCTGCCCACACTCCCTCACTAAACTGGAAGTGATGATGGAGAATGCTACTGTTGACCCCTGGAGGTCAGCAAGGACAGCAAAAGCTCTGGTGCAGCCATGACATTGTGTATAGAGGTCAAGAGAACAGACCGCTGGCAAGAGAACAGGCAGGACTGCTGGGTTCCCTCTCGTCCATGGATCCCCACTGTCCCCGGGCGTCCAGCAGCATGGGAGACCAGCCAGAGACAGCAGACAGACATGCGTGAGTTTCAGTCTCTGATCCCCAGAGATACCACAGTGGGAGGGACCCCCTCAAGGGGGCACAGCCCAAATGACTATGGGGGCTATGCTGGGTGCATACCACACCTGGGTACCAGGTTGCTGGGCAGAGTGGTTGAGTTCGCCACCATCCTACCCCATCAGAGTGTACTCAGAGATTAGAGTCAGTCATCCTAACATGAACCTCCCAAAGCCACGCTAGAGCAAGCTGGAGCCTAGGGGATCAGTGCAGGCCAAAAGGCCATGATCTGTCCTATCTGGGTCACCAAAACTTGTTACCAATGCTTTTGAGTCAGTCCTCATAGTCTTCCTGCCCTGTGTTGTTCAAGCCAATAAAATGAGACCAAGTTTGGTTCAGAAGCAAAAAAAAAAAAATGTGGTTTACACGTTGTTGTTGTTTAGTCGCTAAGTCATGTCCAACTCTTTGAAACCCTATAGATTGTAGCCCGCCAGGAAAGTTATGACAAACCTAGACAAAGTATTAAAGGAGAGACTTCCCTTTGCCAACAAAGGTCCACATAGTCAAAGCTATGGTTTTTCCAGTAGTCATGTACGGATGTGAGAGGTGAACCATAAAGAAGGATTAGTGTCGAAGAATTGATGCTTTCAAACTGTGGTGATGAAGGAGACTCTTGAGAGTCCCTTGAATAGCAAGATCCAACCTTTGAATCCTAAAGTAAATCAACCTTGAATACTCATTGGAGACTGATGCTGAAGCTCCAATATTTTGGCCACCTGATGCTAATAGCTGACTCATTGGGAAAGACCCTGATGCTGGGAAAGATTGAGGGCAAAAGGAGAAGGGGGCAGCAGAGGATGAGATGGTTGGAGAGCATCACCGACTCAATGGACATGAATCTGAGGAAACCCCGGGAGACAGTGATGGATAGGAACTCTCTGTAGTCAGAGAGTTGCACCCAGAGAGTTGGACACAACAACGAATGAATAAAAATCCAAGCTGAGTAATTTTCAGAGATCTGCCATATGATGTAGTACCTACAGTAAACAATAATATTGTGCACTAAAACATGTGTTAAGCAGGTAGGTCTCATAGTAAATGTTCTTAGTACACATTACACTCATTAAAAAAAAAAAATGGGGCACAAGGAAATTTTTGGAGATGATGGATATGTTTATTACCTTGATCGTGGTAATGGTAATACAAGAGTATACATATGTCCAAACTCACCAAATTGCATACATCAATTGTATGTAGTTTTTTGTACACCAATTATACCTCAATAAAGCTGGGGAAAAGTCATTGGCATACACAGTAATGGTGAATGCTAGGCGCTGATATGCTAATAAATGTTTAACAACAGGCTCTTCTAAGCAGAAAAGCCCCAGACTGTTGCATCTGCCAGTGTCTATGATGTAAAGACTCCCAACACAGCAGTTTGAAGCTACCAAGTCTGACATCACTGAAAGCAGAGTCAGGAAGACAGAAGCACAATTGGCCTCCATGTGCTGATACAAGATAACTCTAGCACAGGCCTGGGAAGGGATACAGGCAGGGTACCCACAGCATCTCCTATATGTACAGCCAGAGTGCTTTGCGATAGACATAGGATCTCCAGATTTTATGTGACTTTTATACTCTATTCTGTGAAATGCCAATGTTTGAACATCTTACCATGAAAAAAGAAAAAAAAGGGAGTACTCCCCAAACCTTTTAATTATCTCATACTCTAGGAAGATGGCTTCTTTATTATTTTTACATCACCTCTTCCCCAGCTACCCATCCTCATCACACTGGCAAATACCTATGAGATCAGAGAAAATCCATTTAAGAAACCAGACTTTAATAATCCCTCCACTTGGTCAACCCCACAGTAATGGAGATCTCTTATTTTGCTTGACCAATGTCTTTTCCCCTTCTGATAAGAGCCCTTCATTTTCCTTGAAGCAACCACCCCTATCTTTAGTCCTCAGGCCTTACTTCTTGGCTTTAGTGGTTGGCACATGACACAGTCCCGGCCAAATAGAGAGTTCCATTCCCCTGGAGAAGAGACAAGGCTCCAGTGAGGCTAAAGACACTCTGCTTGGAATTGTTGAAAAAAGAAAATCTCTTCCCACTGCTAAGAGGATGGAAGCCTGGAGCTGCGCATGACCATCCTCCACCACAAGGAAAGAGCCCTCCTGAGAATGAATCCAACAAAAAAGAAAGTTGAAAAGAGAGACAGAGAAAAACTGAGTCCCATAGTATCCTTTGAGCCCTTGGATCCAGCTGTGCCTGAGACACTTCCAGACTTTCCCAGTTTTCTGAAGATATTTTCATACTTTTTCAATGTATGAGCCCACAAAATTCCTCTTTAACTTTGATTTGGGTTTTCGGTCACTTAAAACCGCCAAGATTTCTGGCCGATTCACAAATCTGAGATCAGGTGAATTATTACACACCCTTCTGGTTTTCTCTCCTTGGCCCTAAATAGAGCTCAGTGTAGACATAAGAAGACAGTTCACTGGGACTGTGCCTCCCCGAGGATGAATCCCAAGCAGAACTGGTCCATGTAAGCTACCCAAAGGCACAACGGGGGTCACTTCAGAATCCGGATGCTCATTTTCTGTTCGATGTTCATCTTTTCTAAGGACTGGGGAGGGGGAGATGAGTGGTAGTCAAGAGGCTTGAATTCCAAACCTCTATGCTCCCAACCTCCTTTCCCATTCCCGAGGCCCCATGATTCCCTGGGGACCCCTCTCTTTATGCCCTCCTCCGTCCAACGTCATCCCCCATGTCCACCTGTCCCAGGGACTCCTGATCTCAGCTCCCCAGGCCTGCGGGCACCCTAACCTTGGTGAACTCCAGGAAGGACACAGCCCCATCCCCATCTTCATCAGCTTCCTGCACCGTGCGGTCGGCGATGCTCTCCAACTGCTCTTCTGTCACCTGTACCCCAACCATCAGCCGGAGGACCTGGGATTGGAGGAAGAGACAGAGACAGCCATCAGAAAAGGCACAAGGACTAGGAGCACCAACCCCCAAACTTTGTCCGCATCACCCCAACTGTTAGTACTGATTTTGCAATCCATCCCTCCTTCACTTTTCACCCCATTCCACTCACTTCCCACCACAGTCCCCAATAATTCTCATCACTTCTCCATCCAACCTTCACTACCCCAGGTTCAGCTCAGCAACATACAGCAAGCTCACTGCGTGCATGCTAAGTTGCTTCACTCGAGTCCAACTTTGTGCAACCCTACTGAATGTAGCCCACCTGGCTCCTCTGTCCATGGGATCCTCCAGGCAAGAATACTGCAGTGGGTTATCAGGCCCTCAGCAGGGATCTTCCCAACCCAGGGCTTGAACCCATATCTCTTGTGTCTCCTGTATTAGCAGCTGGGTTCTTTACCCAACCTCCACCCCCTTCCCCAACTCATCCTTCAATTAGTCCCAAATCCATCCCCCATTTCATCACAGTCTTTCTCAGTCTTAGCACTATGGACATTTGGGGCCAGATAACCACTTGTCATGGGGGCGGAGGGCTATCCTGTGTATTGTAAAATGTCCAGCAGAGTTCCTGATCTCTGCCTACTAAGTGTCAGGAACACCACCCCTTCCCCTTCTTCCCCTTACCCTTCTTCATTTGCGACAACCAAAAATGCTTCTTAGATAGTGCCAATGTCATTCAGGCTTCAAAATCTGCCCCCCTCCCATTGAGAGCCACTGATCTATGTCCGACCTCATACTGAAATGTTCCCCATTCCATCTCCCAGCTAACCCGCATTCCAACACCTCCCATTCCCACTGCCCACCCAAGACCCCAGTCATCTGCATCTCCCACCCACAAACCATCTCCCCATCCCCCACAACTATTCCATTCAACCACCCACCCCACCCTTCCTGGTCACATTTCTTGCCCCTGCATTCTTCCAACCTGCAGCATTTCATGCCTGGAGATCTTTCCATCTCGATCTAAGTCGTAGAGCTGAAAGGCAACTGGGAAGAAAGTGGAGGAGGGAAAGGATGGGTCTTCCCTGGTTCTCTTCCCTCAAAAGTTCATTTTGGGGGAGTGGGGGGGCAGGGCTCCCAAAGGGAGTAGGAGGTGCCTGGGCCTCTCACGGGACAAGTAAATCTGGGGTCTCACTGGGGGGTGGGGCACAAACTCACAGCGAAGTTTGTTCATTCTGCTGTTGAGGGGCTCGGGTTCCTTGGGGTCCCGGTTTCCGTCCTCCTCTTCATCCACAGGTCGAAAATGAGCCAGAACTCTGACGAAGCCTGGGAAGTCCAGTCGCAGACTCCTGGGAGGGGAGAGAGCAGGCGGGCAATGGGGCAGAATTGGTGCTCACCGTGACCATCCCTCTGCCTCTGGTCCCGACCTCCCCTGACAAGCTCTCAGCCCCATCTTCCCAACCCCAGGGAGGCTCACCCGTCTGGGAAGAAGCTGTCTATAATGCGGTCTCCCAGGGGGTTCACGGCCAGCGCCTCGATCTGCTGCAGATCCATGCGGCTGGAAAGAGAAAGTTCAAAGAGGAGATGGTCAGGGAGGGGACGGGGTCAGAAAGCAGAGGTGAGGGGTCAGAAGGCCAGCTCCTGCTCACCTCAGGTAGCCCTTGCCGGTCCTATCCAGCGCGCGGAACCGGTGGTAGAGGCGGAGAAGACTGGCCTGCGAGACTGCGGGGCGGGGAGGGGGCTGCTAAGAAGGGGGTCGGGAGAGTAAGGTGGACGCTGGGGACGCGCCGGGATCCCGGGCACGCGCCGGCTACCCGGCGGCCGCAGGGGGTGGGCGGGGGGCGGAGGGCTGGCTGAAGGGAGGGCTCCTCCGGGGCCCCAGGGCCGAGCGCGCAGGGAGGGGGCGGGCGTGACGAGACCCGGGAGATCCGGGAGACCAAAGCCACCCCTTCGATCCGCCTCCGTCCGCCTCAAGGCCGGCCCGGGACCACCCGGGCGCCAGCAAGACCGGAGCCGGGACCCCTGGGTGAACGCGCCCCCTATCCCCCAGGGAGCCGGGCTGCTGGGATCTCCTAGGTTCTCCAGGAGCTGCCCTAGGTCCAGAGCCGCCCGGGACCCCGCCGGGCCCCCAGACGCCGCGCGCCGCACTCACAGCCGGTCTCCCGCCGGATGCTGTCCACGTCGGGGATCCTGGCGGCGTGGGAGCTACGGGAGCCCATGGCTGAGCTGCCGCCGGGCCACCGTTCTCCCCGCCCGCCGCCCAGGCGCGGCCGCCTCGTGGCCCCGGGGCCGAAGGCCGCAGCCTTGGCGGGGAGCCAAGCTCCTGAACCCCGGCGTTCCTTGCCTCCCACCCGCGCCCCGGACAAATGCAAAGCCGGGCCCAGGGTGGCGGGGTCAGCAGGGCGGGCGCGAACAACAGGAGGTTTCATCCCTAGACTCCGAGGTCGGGCAGGGAGGGGCTGCTCAGGGCTGGGCCCGCCCCCGCCGCGGGCCCGGCCCCCTCCGGAGGGTCCGCCTCTCCCCCCGCCCTCGGGTCTGTCCCCAACCCCAGCGGCTCCTCCTCCCGCTCTGAGAATCCGCCTCTCCCCCCTCCTGCGGGTAGGCCCCGCCACGGGTCCATTTCCCGCCGCGGGTCCTCTTCTCCCCCATCGCGGGCCTGCCCCCATCCTCCGCGGGTCCGCCTCCCCCCAGGATCCGTCCCCACCTCCCCCGCCGCGGCTCCATTTCCCCCTCGAGGGTCCACCTTCCGCCCCCCGCGGGTCCGTGCCCCCCGATGGTTCTCCTCCCCCCTCCAGGCTCCTCCTCCCTCCCTTTGGGTCCACCTTCCCCCCACCAGGGTCCGCCCCGCCGAGGGTCCGCCCCTCCTCGACCGTCCGACCGACTCCTTCCCGAGGATCCGTCCCCCGCCCGAGGGCCCGCCCTCCCACCCAGGATCCTTCCCCACCTCCCCCGCCGCGGGTCCATTTTCCCCCGAGGGCCCACCTTCCCCCGCCACACCGCGGGTCCGCGCCCCGCGAGGGCGCTCCGCCCCCCAAGGGTCCTCCTCCCCACTTTGGGCCCACCTCCCCCCCCCCAGGGTCCGCCCCCCCCATGGTCCGCCCCTCCTCGACCGTCCGACCGACTCCTTCCCGAGGACCCGTCCCCCGCCCGAAGGTTCACCCCCAATCCCGCGAGTCCGCCTCCCCGCCCCGCGAATCCGCGTTCCCACGATCGCTGGGGCACCGACCTGCCATCTCCCGCCGGGGCCGGCCTTCCCAGCCCGGGGCCTCCCCGGTCCTGAAGAGCAAGGCTCGAGGTCCCGACCTTCTTCATCTGGAGAGAGAATCCAAACTCTTCTGGGAAGTGGGTGGCAGCTGGTAAGGGGAGCGAGACACCCTGGTCCCAACCCCGGAAGCCCCGGTTTGGGCCCCCTCCCCAGGTAGGGGGAGCAGCCTTGAAGGCGCTCCAAAGAGGGCTGGAGTGGGGAGGGTCGTGAGGCATGGATGAAGCGCTCTTTAAGTGGAAGGAGCACTGGGTTGGGAGGACTCGAATTGGAATCCCAGCTATGCTTCTAACTCTGGACAAGTCAGCATTTCTTGGTTTCATCTATTTTGTTTGGTCCATATAACACTGTTGATGTTTAGTTGCTGCTGCTGCTGCTAAGTCGCTTCAGTCGCGTCCGACTCTGTGCGACCCCATAGATGGCAGCCCACCAGGCTCCCCCGACCCTGGGATTCTCCAGGCAAGAACACTGGAGTGGGCTGCAATTTCCTTCTCCAATGCACGAAAGTGAAAAGTGAAAGTGAAGTCGCTCAGTCGTGTCCTACTCTTAGCAACCCCATGGGCTGTAGCCTACCAGGCTCCTCCGTCCATGGGATTTTCCAGGCAAGAGTATTGGAGTGGGGTGCCATTGCCTTCTCCGAGATTTAGTGGAGTCAATGCTTAAAAATTGGAATATAGCTCCGCGTGTTAGTCTCTCAGTCATGTCATGTCCGACTCTTTGCGACCCCATTGACTATAGCCCCCCCAGGTTTCTCTGTCCATGGAATTTTCCAGGCTGGGATACTGGAGTGAGTTGCTATTTGCTTCTCCAGGGGATCTTCCCGACCCAGGAATCAAACCCAGGTGTCCTGCATCGTAGGCGGATATGGAGCCAAAATTCCTGTTTTCTGAGAAATTAAAAGATCTGACACCACTAGGCCCTCCATCCTCCCTGGCACCGAGTGCATACAGCTGGGAACAGTGGCCATGTTTAGATGGGGCACCCAGGCGGTCCTCTTGCTGCAGTCCCCTGTCAGCCCAGTTGCTCCCCTATGAACGCTGTGGGCTCTGGTAGAAGCTCCAGGCTGGGAATGACTTAGACCTCTAACCAGCCCTCAAGCACCAAAGAATCCACAGGCAGCCTGAGGGAGGGTTACAAACCCCACTGTGACCACCCTGAACATAATGACCACGGCGGCAAGGGCTCTCATTTTTCTGAGCACGCACCATGGTCCCTGCACTTTGCAAAGCCCTGTAAGTGCACTAACTCACACACAGGCTAGACGGCCATCCTCCCACATTTTTATGGTGGACGCTTCCATCACTTAAAAAGTTGTGAGTTATGATAAAGCATCTATCCTCAAGAGGTGGGGGGGGGGGATCTTCCCTGATATCTCAGCTAGTAAAGAATCTGCCTGCAATTCGGGAGACCTGGGTTCAATCCCTGGGTTGGGAAGATCCCCTGGAGAAGGGAAAGGCTACCCACTCCAGTATTCTGGCCTGGAGAATTCCATGGACTGTATAGTCCATGGGGTCGCAAAGAGCTGGACACAGCTCAGTGACTTTCACTTTCATCTGTCCTCAAAGGGGGTCACAAAGAGTTAGACACGACTTAGCTACCGAACAACAACAGCATATCTGTAATATTAAAATTCCATGGGAGAGAGGTGGCTAAGGAAAAAAAAGTTTAACAATGCTCATTCAATGGGGATGATAATTTTAAAAAGTTGAGAAAATCATGTTGTAAAGGAACAAGCACCACTTTTCAAGTCCAACTTTGCATGTATCATTACCCTGTATTCCTCCATCATAATCACGCGTATACACAGATTTCCCAAGGGGAAAAGATGCAAGCTGTTCATTTCAGTGGTTCAAGTTCATACCCACCCTGGAGAGAGGGAAACAATCAAGCCTCCAGCCCCAGGCAGAGTCTGACATCAGATAAGCCTTGAAAATATTGATCTAAGAAGTGCATTCTGCTCTTTCAGATACCCCAAGGATTAGACAACTGGCACAAAGAATGCTCAATTCCCTTTCGATGCCCCCTGAGGACTAAAGCATGCAGGAAGCCATGCTGCTCCCTAATGAAGCCCAGCAATCACTGCAGTGCATCCCTAGGAGTGTAGGTCAGGTTAGGTTCTGAACCAAGGAGGTGAGAACAGTCCCTGGAAGTTTGCAATAATTACCTCAGGCCAGCTTGGGCTGCTGATCTTGGGAAGAGCTCCTCCAGCCTTAATCTCTGAGTCAGCGCTGCACTGATGCAAATCATGTCAGCGAGTCATTAACAACCTGCGTCCACACACCATCACAAGCTTCCAGGAAAACACTCTGTTAGAACCCCTTCCTGCTTCATGCACTTAAGTAGCATTCCAATCAACTTCATATATATACTTGGCCATATTTTTTCAGGGCATTTACAGGAGAGATGCTTTGGGGAGAATTTCATCTGAAGAATCTGTTGAACAGGATTCGGGCTGAATGCTTGTTTTCTGCTTTTAAGCTGCATAAGAGTTGCTAGCCATTCTTGAGGAAGCAATACTTCCAACTTCAGTATAACAGAGGTCCAACTGGAAAAATGCATGTGCAAGAATCAGTTCCGTTCAGTTGCTCAGTCATGTCTGACTCTTTGCGACCCCATGGACTGCAGCACGCCAGGCTTTCCTGTCCTTCACCAACTCCTGGAGCTTGCTCAAACTCATGTCCATCAAGTCGGTGATTTCATCCAACCATCTCATCCTCTGTTGTCCTCCTCTCCTGCCTTCAATCTTTCCCAGCATCGGGGTCTTTTCCAATGAGTCTGTTCTTCGTGTCAGTTGGACAAAGTATTGGAGTTTCAGCCTCAACATCAGTCCTTCCAATGAATATTCAGAACTGATTTCCTTTACGCAGGACTGCTTTGACCTCCTTGCAGTCCAAGGGACTCTCAAGAGTCTTCTCCAATACCACAGCTCAAAAGCATCAATTCTTCGATGCTCAGCTTTCTTTATAGTCCAACTCTCACATCCATACATGACCACTGGAAAAACCATAGCTTTGACTAGATGGACCTTTGTCAGCAAGGTAACGTCTCTGCTTTTTAATATGCTGTCTAGGTTGGTCATAGCTTTTCTTCCAAAGAGCAAGCATCTTTTAATTTCATGGCTGCAGTTACCATCTGCAGTGATTTTGGAGCCCCAAAAAATAGTCTCTCACTGTTTCCATTGTTTCCCCATCTATTTGCCATGAAGTGATGGGACCAGATGCCATAATCTTAGTTTTCTGAATGTTGAGTTTGAAGCTAACTTTTTCACCCTCCTCTTTCATTTTCATCAAGAGGCTTTTAGTTCTTCTTCACTTTCTGCCATAAGGGAGGTGTCATCTACATATCTGAGGTTATTGATATATCTCCCGGCAATCTTGATTCCAGCTTGTGCTTCATCCAGCCCAGCGTTTCACACAATGTGCTCTGCATGTAAGTTAATTGCTCTGCATGTAAGTTAAATGAGTAGGGTGACAATATACAGCCTTGAAGTACTCCTTTCCATATTTGGAACCAGTCTGTTGTCCCAAATCAGGAAATATACCAGAATAGTTGGGGAAATACAGAGTGCTTACAACTCAATAATAAAAAGACAACCCAAATTGTTTCTACAAAGTTCACAATGAGTTTAGTATTTTTTTAATATTTATTTTTATTTATTTGGCTACACCAGGTCTTAGTTGTGTCACGGGATCTTTGCTTTTCATTGAGGCATGCAAGATCTTTTTAGCTATGGCATGTGGGATCTAGTTCCCTGGGCAGGTATTGAACCTTGGGCCCCCTTCACTGGGAGCACAGAGTCCTACCCACTGGACTACCAGGGAAGTCCTAATATTTTAATATATGTTAGAGCTCTTTTTCTCCATAAAATTGCAGGCTTCTTAAGGGTGGAGGGCATAAAAGAGGTTATATAAACAAGGCCAGATACCTGGGAAGTCCAAATATCTGTGTCCTCAGGCTGAGAGCTCAGGCTGAGGCTTGACCAAATCCAACTTTCTGCCCTAATGCTATGAGTGGAACTTGGTTAGTTTTTCAAATTAAGCTTTTTATATTTGCCGGCTTAGCAGGCAATTTATGCATTCCAAACTCATCTTTCTAGCAATAATCAAGTTACACCATACACAAGGTGGCCTGTTTCCTGAGGTATTTAATTGGAATCTACAAATATTCACAGGGAAAGCATATTTCAAAACAGGCTGCCTCTTTGGGAGAGAGTAGGGGTGGAGTGCACAAATGTGGGAGCAAAGAACAAGATGTAGCCCCTGGACAATGATATTAGCTCCAGGCTTGTTTAGTTGGGAGCAAGGATTTTCACACATTAGATTTCCAGAGAAGTGCTTGGAAAGGAGAGTGGGCTGAAGCTGAGCTTGGCTGTCACCATGAGGAAGGGAGAGTTGAGAATTTCAAACAGCTGTGGTTCTTGGAGCAACCCTACCCAAGGTAACTACATAAGAAGTTCCCTCCAAGACGGCTGTCCTGGACTTCCATGGTGGTACAGGGGATAAGAACCTGCTGGCCAATGCAGGGGACAATGGGTTTGATCCCTAGACCGGGAAGATCCCACATGTGTCAGGCTAATCCCATGCACCACAGCTGTTGAACCTGTGCTCTAGAACCTGGGAACCGCAACTACTGTAGCCCGAGCGACTGGAGCATGTGCTTGCAACAAGAGAAGCTGCTGCAATGAGAAGCCCGAGCACCGCAACTAGAGAAAGCCCTCTTGCAGCAATGAAGACCCAATGCAACCAAAAATAAAATAAAATTAATTAATTGGTGTTTTCAAAAGATAGCTATCTTGGTTGGGTTAAGGTTCAGCTGTAACAAAGAACCCTCACATAAGAATGGCAAATAGACGTTGGCATCTGTATCATGGCTGGGTCTGGAGGCAGACAGTCCGGGCTGGTCTGGGAGGGCTGCTCCAGGAAACTTCTCTCCCTGGATGCTCTTACCATCCCCGGAGAGTTGCCCTCACCCAGGATGCACACCAGTCAGGGTGGGCCTCTAGCCACAGAGCTCCCCTTCTTAGCAGCAGGATAGAGGAAGAAGCAGAGAAAAGGACCTGTCTCTCTCTTCTAGGAAATATCCTTAGAAGTCATGTAAA